CACCTTAGAGACTAACTAATAAATTTGTTAGTCTCTAAGGTGCCACAAGTACTCCTGTTCTTCTTTTTTTGAATAGATAGGGTGTCTTCCAGGCAATGATTACAGCTGATGCTAGGGAATGGTTGACTGGAGTTTATCCACAAAATTTGACTTTTTGTAGTTGTTCTATTCTGGTTTGGCCTGAAAATTCTGTATAATATGATAGGTGGTCTTTAGACATTCCTCATGTAGACTGTGTACTGATGAAGTTATTTGCAGTTGTTCATTTCATATGCAATAATAAATTGAAGTATCTATTGAAACACAGAGTAACTCAATTTAACTGATAATGGTTGAATGACTTGGGGCTACCAAAGGGGTTAAAGAAAAAACAATAACCAAAAACTGAAGTCTAATTTTGACCCAGAAGTAAAACTCCTGCAGTCTAGTTGTATATGAGAATATTTTAAAGGTCTGTTAAATTTTAAAACATTTAATGACAGAAGACATTAAGAGGTTATTAATCTACTGTAAGAACTTTTTTGATTTCATCATTATATAGTAAAAACTCCATGCAGATAAATTCAGAACTGTATATTTGCTAAAAGCTATTTTTAAATTAAAGCACCTTTTAGTTTCTGAGGTGAGCAATGTGTAGCTTTAAGTATTTGAAATGTATTTTTTTTTAAAGCCAGTTAGTTTAATGCTCACTGCTAATTTGAAACAGTGTTGTGTTTTGTTTGTTTAAGGAACTAAGCATATGTTTGCCTGAAGTCTGACTTTTACGTGCTACGCACCTGCACACACACACACACACACACACACACACTTTATTTTCCCTCCCCAAATGTGGGTATAGGCAACGTAAAGTCAAATTTAGTTAAATTTCTATGCAGGTAAGTAAACTGTGAAATACATTGAGAATTAATATATTGTTAACCTTTGATAAACCACAGAAGTAGCTCAATATTGTCAAACTAAACAAACGTTAAAATTAATACAGAACATGATAATATATTTTCTAAAGTCCTTAAGTGACTTTGCAGCCCAAGTCTCATTGAAAGTCAATGGGATTTAAGTTCTTAAAGCTGTAATCCTATAAAAATTTAGGCACATGCTTAACTTTATGTACGATGAGTATTCCATTGACTTCATTGGGACTACTCAGAGTGCATAAAGTTAGTCCCCGATTCTGCGAAGACTTACTCTTGTGCTCACTTTAAAAATTGGAGTTAGGCTCCTAAATTATTTAGTCACTTGTGAAAGTTTTATCCTATATCTTCCAAGTAACTTACAAACAAATTAATCCTCACAATTTCTCTGTGCGGTAAGTGGAAAAGAATTGTTATCCTTAAGGATATATGATAAAATAATATTATCCTATACTGTTGTGTATTTTAAGCTTTGTTAAGGTATAAAAATAACAAAAGGAAAATAAAACATAAACTACACTGAATTTACTTCTTAATCTATTTAAATGGAAAGGGGCTGATGGTAATTTTTTATTGTTACTGCTGTATGTATGAAAATTAAAATGGTACAAGGTGAGCTCAGATGAACAGGATATTGATCAGGTGTACTTGAAATAGCAGTTCATTAGGTATGTGTTAATTATATGAGATTACTTCTGAAATGCTATGGTGGTTTCATATTTTAAATTGCTTATTAAATCATTAATTTTCTAGGAGGTAAATGAGCCTTACATTGTCATCTTAATCTCTGCAGATTTTACCTTTCACATGTCGTCAGGGCACTTAAAGCAATCACAGCTGGCTTTCTAGAAATACTGTATTAACATCTAGTTTGTTCAAAGAGGATTCATTGCTTCTGCTCTGTTTTTGTTTCTATCATGTGTCTACCACTTTCAGGCTTAAAATTGCATGTGTTTAATTTTAGTTTACTTTTTTGTATGACTAATATAGATTCATAAAAAAGTATCAGAATGTTTATTAAATTAAATTATCTTCTCACTGACAGTAATATGACCTGTGGTTACACCAGGCTGCTTCAATCTATCCAGAGGATCATATACCAGGAAGGATTTGATGGATCCTATCCCCAGGTACTGAGCACCTTCGGTGTCTTCTATAATCATGTAACTAATGTTGTTTTCAAAATTCTCTCTAGGGTTACACATGAAAGGTCTTGGAATAATTAACAGTGAACAAGCTGTTTCTAAGCATTGCTGAAGTAAACAAGTAAAGTAAATAGAGAGCCTGGTTCATATGTTAATGTGTATTGTGAGTTTTACTTAGTTCTCAACGGATATGGGTAGACTGTGCAAATTAACTGTAAACCAACATTTTTTTAAAAGGCTTATTCTATGCTAGTCGCTACTAAAATAGGTTGTTAAATACAATGAAACTAGGCAAAGTGTATTTTCCCCTGTAGATTTTTAAGATAGCTGTTTTAACAACATGGAGTTCAAGATTAATTCACAAAACTATTGAGAGTTGGCAGTGTATTCCATGCTGTGAGGTTTGGGGTTTGTTAGTAAATTAAAAGACGTATCTTTCAATAACAAGAATTGAAACACAAAGAGCTATTATAATGCCATTTTAACTTAGATTAACTATTTATATCTCTCAGAACAGCTTACCTTCTGGCATCTCTGTAAATACTCATAAATCATAGCATGAATCATCCAGAATAATTTTTTAAAGACAACAATTTCAGAGGAAAACTTTTTCTAGTTTAACCAATACTCAACTGACAGCTTTCTTTGTCTTAGTCAATCAAGAAGACAGCTTCTTTGGAGTTCACCTAAATAAAATAATCAGTCATGTGTGGTGATGCTTAATTGATAGATAATTATATTATCTTCATTGCTGTTATACAATAGAAACTTTATTAAGGTAGAAGTTACCTATTATCGGTTCCGGAGAATGTAAAAAAATATAATGTGCTATATACTACTAGGCAGTTGAATTAAAACTATCTATGAGGGAAGACAGCCTTGGTTTTGTTTGGCTGCTTTTCTATCTAGGAGTGTTTTTTAGGAACATTAACTATATGGAATATTTGTGTGTTCTTTTAGCTTATTTTTGCAGTTTTCAGTCTCTGCAGAGATTCATGGGCAAGCATGTTTTCCCTTTGGTGGCAGTGCCCGTCTGGAGAAGTAAATTGGTCCCTGACAGGCACCTCTCCCCACTTACTGTGGTAACCATGGCAACAGGCATGTCATAACAGTTCCCACAGTATAGTATGCAGAGCTGCTCCTCCAACAAGATGACAGGTCCTCTGGAAGCAAGAAATCTTACAGAATGCAAAAAGCAACAGCACCAAAGTGACATGAACACCCTGGGAACCTTCAGCCAGCAAATAATGTGCTACTGGAAAAGACTCCAGTAACTGTTTTTTGTTTTTCCTTAGGTGTTGGTTTTAGCTTAAATATAGAACCTATGTATATTCCTGAGAAACATTTATATTTTAATACAAAATGATGAAGTCCATAATTTTTGGATAGTTTTTTTGCAAAAAATGAGGAATAAAACATCAACTAACATTGTTCAAAGAAATACTCATAATGTGCACTATTTTAAAATATTTTGTTAATATTAATAAAATCAAAACCAAAAAACTCCATGCAGATAAATTCTGAACTGTATATTTGCTAAAAAGCTATTTTTAAATTAAAGCACCTTTTAGTTTCTGAGGTGAGCAATATGTAGCTTTAAGTGTTTGAAGTGTATTCTTTTTAAGCCAGTTCGCTTAATTTAGAAAGCCATTAGATCATGCCTAGATATTAATTTCTGCTTCAGGGAAGATATAGAGAGCTTGAAAATGAAAATGATTTGCTGCAGCTGAAATGTTACTTTTCTAGAATAATCTTTTCCCTATTCACAACCTTTCTTCACACAGCATATTTTGCATGTTTAGGGAGCCCTGTATAATACAACACTAATAAAAGTACATTCAAAATTGAAATTAATTGAGGGCCAGATCATGCTCTGGGTCTATGACCTATAGATCTCCCACTTCTATGGGTAATTCAGCTGTTTCCATGGTATGCACTCCTTTCTCTTAACAGAGTCCTGTGAAGGGCTTTCTCTATGGCCAAATAGAAAGAGGGTGGACCTGGTACAGGCTGCATCTCCCCTACTTCTCCTCTTCCAAAAAACTAAAAAGAACCCTCTGCGAAATTGTATTAACTTCTGAGTGGTGCCCCCCTCCACCTGGAAGAATCCTCTCTCATTGATAGTAGCTCATGTGAAGCTGGAGGAGAGCCCACAAGGATATGTAGGCACAGGGCTGCTGAATAGAGAGCTCTGATTTTGTGTGGACCCCGCCTTGAGATTTACAGGGATTGGTGGCCAAACCCCAGCTTCTTCCATACAGTCAAGAGACAAACCTCATGGAGTTTCTAGATGTCTTTGCAAGTTGTTCCATGGTAGGGTCTGTCCCTTAAGGCAAAGCTAGCTACTGCTTCAAGTGATGGTCCATCTGTGTAGAGCATATGTGGGCATGCATGCATACCATACGCCTGAATCTGGAAATTTTGAGCAGCGGTGTCCATTGGTCTGTACATGCCTAGTTGAACTCCTCATGCTCTGAACCAAGGGCATCAATGGCAACACAAACCAACATCTCTCCAATTCTTTCTTACCATTGTATGTCTTGAGTCAGAATCCATGTCCACTTCAGTCTCCTGCTTCTGTAAAACTGTGAATACAATTTGTAAATGATTTAATAGCTTAATATTTTAGTGTTTTACTGGTTTTTTATAGTTACCATAGTTAGTTTTAGGTACTCTCCACTCTGGGGGAAGCTTCTCCCTCCAAAAAGGGATTATCCCAAGAGTTCCTGGGTTCAGAAACTGCTCTCCTGTCCTGGTTCCTTCTCTGTCAGTGACAACCACCACCGCTCCCTCTATTGCCTTGGGAAAACTCCTATTGCCACCAAGTGCAACTTCTGCTGTTCCTTCCATCCCCAAACTCATGAGGGACGAAAGTTCCATCTGTGGAAGCAGCTCATGGAGCAGGCAATGAGACCCCATTGAATTGAGGGCAGCCAAATGGAACTGTTTCTCCTATTGGTCACGACAACACCAGTTGCCTCCAGATTGCCAGAATCCCTGCACCAAAAGTAATTACAGAGCTTCATATGAAGCATACCATCCACTTACCAGTATTTTTGCCAAAAGTGTATGTCTCTGATGAGAAGGCTTCATTCCCTGGACATCCAATGGGCACTAGCCTTTTATCTGCTAAAACAAAAGCAATTAGAAAAACACCTAGACTTTTTATTGTCATAGATGAGAGATCAAGAGATCAAGCTATCAAGCTCCATCTGCCCAGAGATTCTCTCAGTGGATCTCGGCTGCATCATCCTTTGCTACCAGCTAGCTCATATTCCCTCCCCGGATGGATGCAAGATGTACCTTTACTAGAAATATGTGGGGCAGCTACCTGAAGCTCATGACATACCTTCACAAGATGTTACACTTTCTTCCAGTCTTCTACAGAGACAGCCATGGAAACAGCAGTCTTGCAGATGGCCATAACATCTGCATCCTGGCACCCACCTCCTGTTTGTTTGACTACTTGCTTACTAATGTGGAGTACACCTAGGAATCATCACTCAGAGAAGAAAGTACTTCAAGATGTGGTCCATATTTGCATTCCACTAACAGCCTTCCATGCCCACTGCTATGAGTCATCTCTAGATTCACAGTCAAAATAGGAATTGGAGAGACATTGGTCTGCACTGCCCTTTATGCTCTCTATTCAGATTATGAGGAGTTCCACTGCGCATGTGTGGACCAACGAACACTGCTTACTAAAAATATCCAGACACAGGCTCATGGTGCGCATGCATACCCAGGGGGAAGCCAGTACAAATTACTGGGGCCCGGCGATCCGGAAGGGGGGCCAGCTTCCCCAGCTTCACCCCCTCTTGTTGGCCCTGTTTAGCCAGTCCGCTCTTGCTGGGGGGCCCGAAAAAAAATTTCACCGGGGCCCAAACCCGCTCTCGGCGGCCCTCTGCATACCCATTTGTGTAATACACATATGGACCTCACATCTCAAAGAACCTCCGGTTAAAGGTAACTAACCTCCATTTTGTAAAGGAATGTGATGGATGTAGTCTTAAACTGCTCTTATTTAGTTTAATGTTCAACTGTGAATAAAGCACAATTCTATAAATTAATTTTATTTTAAATGGAGATATCCTATCTCCTAGAACTGGAAGGGACCTTGAAAGGTCATTGAGTCCAGCCCCCTGCTTTCACTAGCAGGACCAAGTACTGATTTTATCCCAGATCCCTAAGTGGCCCCCTTAAGGATTGAACTCACAACCCTGGGTTTAGTAGGCCAATGCTCAAACCACTGAGCTATCCCTTATATGTCACATGCAACTTGCAGACATTTTGATCTGTGTTATCATCAGTATGTTGATGACCTCTCATTTTCTTTAAACCAAGGTTCTATGGTCCCAGTGTCTGAACTGGAATCTAGCTAGAAGTGAATGGAATGTGACTCCGCCCAGATGAGAAACAAATCTAACAGCTGTAGGAGTAGGAAGAGGCTACTATTAGAGGTTTAACAGACTTTTGCCAAAATGGTCCAGAGCCTTTGGGCCCTGATGCTCTGTTAGCATTAATGACTCATAGAGCCTTTCACCATCTCTTGCTGGCCAGGAGACTGCAACAGTTCCTCTGTAGAGTGGACCTGACAACAGTTGATATCTGTTACTTCTCGGCTTCACTGCTGCAATGAACTTTACTTGGGGCTATCCTGAAGTTCACCCAAAACCATCACTCGTCTCTTAAGTGGGTCAGGCCAGTCTGAGCAGTTTGCAATCAAATGCCCCCTCTTAAATCCCTAAATAATCTAGAATCTCATAATATAATATTCCTTTTCACCATAATCTGGGACATGATTAACATTGGCTGGTAATGGCTTACTGTTGGGAATTAAGTTTGAACAATCTGTAAGCTAAAAATACTTTAAAGTCATTGGGAGTTGTGCCCACTTCACTGTTTTAATTTGGTCCATCATGTTTGGTGACAGGACATTCTCAGTTGACTTCTCTGGAATTATCTTTCCTTGGCATCCATTGGAG